TGGATACTTTTTCTTCCATTCTTGAGATACTTTGCTAAGAAGAACATTTTCCAGCTTCATCCTTGTGAGCATGAAGGACGTAAAGTCTCCATCTTTCTTTATGGCTGCATAGTATTCCATGGTATACATATACCACAGTTTATTGATCCATTCGTGGATCAATGGGCACTTGGGCTTCTTCCATGACCTGACAATTATGAATTGGGCTGCAATAAACATTCTGATACAAATATCTTTGTTGTAATGTGCTTAACCTATACAACATGGCATCCAGACGGGAGAGGTCACAGAGCAGCCATCAGGTGCCGTGATTCACAACTCTGTGACCACAGGCAAGTCACTTAAACTCATGTCAAACTCATGGTTTTTGGTCTTCTATATATATACCTAATAAAGGAATTGCAGGATCAAATGGCAGGTCTATTTTTATTCTCTAAGTGTTCTCCAGATGACTTTCCAAAAGGAACGTATTAGTTTGCATTCCCACCAGCAGTGTAGAAGTGTTCCCTTTTCTCCACATCCACACCAACATCTCTGGTTTTGGGATTTAGTGATATGGGCTAATCTTACTGGAGTTAGGTGATATCTCAAAGTAGTTTTGATTTGCATTTCTCTAATGATTAAGGATGGTGAGCATTTTTTCATATATGTATAGGCCATATGCCTATCTTCTTTAGAGAACTTCCTCTTCAGGTCCTTTGCCCACCGTGAAATGGAATCACTTGTTTTTTTCTTGCTAATATGTTTGAGTTCTCTATGGATTCTGATTACTAAACCTTTGTCAGAGACATAACTTGCAAATATCTTCTCCCATTCTGAGGGCTGTCTGCTTGCTTTACTTACTGTGTTCTTGGCTGTGCAGAAACTCTTTAGTTTGATCAGGTCCCAGTAGTGTATTTTTGATGTTGCTTCAATTGCCCAGGGAGTCCTCATAAAATTTTCACCCAGGCCGATTTCTTCAAATGTTTTCCCTACACTTTCTTCTAGTATTTTTATGGTTTCATGTCTTAAGTTTAAATCTTTAATCCAGTGAGCATCTATCTTAGTTAATGGTGAGAGGTGTGGGTCCAGTTTCAGTCTTCTACAAGTTGCCAGCCAGTTCACCCAGCACCATTTGTTAAATAGGGAATCTTTTCTCCACTCAATGTTTTTAATTGGTTTATCAAAGATGAGGTAACTGTAGGTAGCTGGATTCATCTGTTGGCTTTCTATTCTGTTTCATACATCTACCTCTCTGTTTTTGTGCCAGTACCATACTGTTTTAATCACTATCAATTTCTAGTATAATCTGAGGTCTGGTAGCGTGATTCCTCCTGCTTTGTTTTTATTCTTGAGTAATGTCTTGGCTATTCGAGGTTTTTTCTGATTCCATATAAAACAAAGTATTATTTTTTTCAAGATCTTTAGAATATGACAGTGGAGCTTTAATGGGGATTGCATTAAAATTATATATTGCTTTGGGTA